GCAGTAGATAGAATGCTGGCCCCAGATTCAGGAGGACTCCAGCTCAAAGCCAGCCTCAGACACAACATTCCCTAGCTGTGTGACTCTGGCCAAGTCACTTAACCTCACTGCCTACCAAAAAAAAGGAAAAAAAAACACCCAGGGGAATCCCAAGAGAGAGCTAATAGTTTAGTACCTTAGTTGTCAAAGAGGGTTCAAAGTCCCCTAAGGGTCCTCAGGACCCTTTTAGGTGGCCTTTGACATTAAAACCACTTTCCCAATAATATTAAGATGTTATTTGCCCAATAAAATACTCTTCTCTTTTCCAACCACATATCTGTGTGAAGCCAAATCTTCTTTATATACTTCAATCAAAATAACGTATCTCAACAGCTTTCTTCCATTCAGCCAGACATTTAAATAGATTATAAAAAAGTAAACTAATATGTCTTTCACTAATTGTTTTAGTAAACATTGTTATTTTTCAGAAAAATATTATTTGTTAACATTTAATGGATTTATTGTTAAATGAGTTAATACTTTAAAATTTTATCAGTTTTAATTTACAATACAGTAGATATCAATAATATACAGAAATGCTAATGATTTTATGGGTTTATTTTGTAACCTGCAATTTTGCTGAAATTGTTGTTTCCATTAGTTTTTTAGTTGACTGTTTAGGGTTCTCTAAGTAAACCATTATATCATCTGCAAAAAGGGATATTTTGTTTCCTTATTTGCCTTTGTTTATTCCTTCAATTTCTTTTTCTTGTCTTATTGCTAGAGCTAGAATTTCCAGTATATTATTAACAGCACAAAGTACTAGCTCTATAAACATCAGAAACTGTAGACATCTATCTACTCCTATACAGCACCCTTATTAATGCAATCACACATAACTAACAGTTGAATTATTGAATACTAAGGGTAATAATGGACATCCATGCTTCACCTCTGTTCTTTTTTTTTTTAGTGAGGCAATTGGGGTTAAGTGACCTGCCCAGAGTCACACAGCTAGTGAGTGTTATGTGTCTGAGGCGGGATTTGAACTCAGGTACTCCTGACTTCAGGGCTGCTGCTCTATCCACTGTGCCATCTAGCTGCCCCCACCTCTGCTATTAGAAAGACTTCTAGCTTATCCCCATTAGGGATAATGTCTGCTTTTGGTTTCGATAGACGCTACTTGTTATTTTAAGGAAAGTTCTTTTTATTTCTGTGTTTTCTAGTGTTTGTAATAGGAATAGCTATTGTATTTTGTCAAAAACTTTTTCTGCATCTACTGAAACAGTCATACGATTTTTGTTGTTGTTAATATGGCCAATTATGTTTGTAGTTTTCCTGCTACTGAACCAGCCCTGAATTGGTGATCTAAATCCAACCTGGTCATGGCGTATAATCTTTGTGATATATTGCTATAATCTTCTTGCTAGTATTTTATTCAAAATTTTTGTATCAATTCATTCATTAGGTAAATTGGTCTATAGTTTTCTTTCTGTTTTGACTTCCAGGTTTAGGTATCAAGACCCTATCTGTGTCATAGAAGGAATTTTACAGGACCACATTGCCTATTTTTTTCAGAGTTTACAGAGTATTGGAATTATTCTTTAAATGCTTGGTAGAATTTGCCTGCAAATCCATCTGGTCCTGGGATTTTTTCTTAAAGAGTTCATTTATGGCTTTTTCAATTTCTTTCTCTAAGATAAGTGTATGGGTTTTGTTTTCTTGTGTTCTTAATTCTCATTTGGGGTGGGAAGATGAAAAGATAGATAATGGCCAATTAAAATAAATATTTAAATTTACAATAGTTATTTAGTACTTTATTTTCTGTTCTGTCAGTCTAGACAACTTATATTGTTGTAAATATTCATTCATTTCATTTAGATTGTCAGTTTTATTAGCATGTAGTTACTCATAATATTTCCTAGTAATTGCTTTTATTTCCTCTTCACTGGTTGTGAATATACCTTTTTCATTTTTGATAATGGTAATTTGGTTTTCTTTTTTTAAATCAAATTAATAAATAGTATGTCTATTTTATTGTTTTTTTTAAACAGCTCCTATTTTTATCTATTAATTCAATGCATTTTTTTTAACTTTCAATTTTGTTAAATCTCTCCTTTGATTTTTATGGCTTCTATTTTGGTATTTAATTAGGGATTCTAATGTTTTTCTAGCTTTTTAGTTGCATATCCAATTCACTGATCTGCTCTCTCTTTTGTGGTTGTAAGAATTTAAAGATATAAATTTTCCCCTAAGTATTGCTTTGGTTGCATCCCACAAATTTTAGTATGTTGTCTCATTATGGTCATCTTTAATGAAGTTATGGATTGTTTCTTTGATGATCCACCCACCATTTTTAATTTATGCTTCAAAGATCCTTTATTGAATATAATTTTTATTGCATTATGGTCAGGAAAGATATATCTAATTTTTCTGCATTTGTTTGTGAGGTTTTTAATGTCCTAATACATGATCAATTTTAGTGAAGGTGCTATGCATAGTAGCAAAATAGGTATATTCCTTTCTATTCCCATTCAATATTCTCCAGAGGTCTATCATATCTAACTTTCTAAAATCTTACTTATCTTCTTAATGTATTTCTTGTTTATTTTATGGTTAGATTCATCTAGATCTAATAGGGATAAATTGAGATCTACTATTATAGTTTTACTATTTCCTCCTCTAACTCATTTAACTTTTCCTTTAAGAATTTAGATGCTATGCAGTTTGGTACATATATGTTCAGTATTGATATTAGAGTTCACTGTCTTTACCTTTTAGTAAAATGTAGTTTTCCTATTTAGCTCTGTTAATTAGGTTTATTTTTATTTTTGCTTTGTCTAAGATCATGACTGCCACCCCTGCCTTTTTCACTTCAGCTGAAGCATGATAGATTCTGCTGCAAACCCTTATTTTAACTCTATGTGTATCTTTTTCTTTTTCAGATATGTCACTTGTAAACAACATATTGCTGGATTCTAGTTTCTAATCCATTGTTACCCTATTCTGTTGTATGAGGGAGTTCAATCCATTCATATTCAGTTATGATTGCTAACTGTGTATTTCTCTTCATGCTATTCTTTTATGCTTCTCTTTTTTACCCAGGTCTTTCTTTTTACTCTGGGCAGTTTTTCCTCCTTTAATCTATCCTCCCTTAATCTATCCTCCCTCTTATTCCACTACACCATGCTCCCTCCCCCCCACCCGTGCCCCCCCCCACCCACACGCTCACTCACACACGCTCACTCTCTCTCTCTCCCTCCTCTCTCTCTCTCTCTCTTCTCTCTCTCTCTCTCTCTCTCTCTCTCTCTCTCTCTCTCTCTCTCTCTTCTCTTAACTCCTTTCTTTCCCTCCTACTTCCCTGCTGGGTAATATGAGTTTCTGTGCCCAACTATGTATGAATAATTTTTCTCTCCTTGAACCAGTTCAAATGAGGATTCAAGCATTGCAAATTTTCCTCATTCCCCCCTCCACTAATACAGTAATAAATATCTATAGGTATAACTATCAAAACAAAAGCCCTTTGAGGTACTCAATTTTTAAGAGTGTAAAAAAAGTTTGAAAACTGTTGGACTAGCAGAAGTGAAAGCTGACAAGGGCATCACAATGAGATGGCCACAGAAAAGTTTTGTTTCCTAGTCTCTCTACTGTTGCTGGTATGTCTCCATGGAAAGAAGTCCAAAGATCAAACAATGTTAGAGCCCCCAGGACAATAAGCACTGGGAAGTTATCCACCACACACTTTTATTTCATTTCTCCCTCCTCCCACCACTCCCCACTAGTCTTGAAGGTGTGGAGGACAGCTACCTGGAAAGTTCCTTCTCATTACCTACAGATGAGATATTACAAAACTTCATCTTTCTGAATATACTCTTTTGGCTTACCAATTTTCACATCCTGCCATAAGCTAATTGTTAAACATTCAGGATGAAGGGCAGCTATATAGAACAGCAAATAGAACAGTGAATCCGGAGTCAAGAAGATCTAAGTTCAAATCCTGCCTCAGACACACGGAAGCTATGTGACCCTAGGCAAGTAACTTATGTTTTAGCATGTCTTCACATGTTTAACCAATATACTGCTTACCTTCTCAAGGGATGTGGGAGGAGGGGGAGGGAATTTGGGACTCAAAATATTCAAAAATGAATGTTTAAAATGTTTTTACATGTAATGGGGAATTATTTAAAGAAATAAATTTAAAAAAATTTTTAATTTGGGGCAGCTAGGTGGCGCAGTGGATAGAGAACCGGCCCTGAAGTCAGGGGGACCTGAGTTCAAATCCACTCTCAGACCAAACACTTGACACTTACTAGCTGTGTGACCCTGGGCAAGTCACTTACCCCCAACTGCCTAAAAAAATTTTTTAATAAAAAAAATTTTAAATTTAGGATCAATATTTTTTATGAAACTCAGATATTCTAGCTGTGCTCTCTGGGAATGAGGAATAACGTTAATAGGATCAGATTCTATAGCTGGAAGGGGCCTCAGAGGTCACCCAACCCCAACCCCCTTATCTTAAAAGATGAAGAAAGTAAAGCGCAGTGAATTTCTGGGATCTGCCTAATATCACTCAAGCGTTAAGACGGGACTCAAACCCATTTATACCCATTGCACCAAGAAGATTAGGTGGGACGCGGTCACCTGGACTGTGGCACAAAAGCCCTACTCCGCTTCATTGTGGGCGTAGCCCCTGGATTCTACAGAGGGAACTTCTGGAAGCAAAGAAACTGGGGGAGAGGAGCAGATCACACCTCTCTGAAATTAGTTCTTTTGCTAGCCTGAGTCATTTCTTTTTAAAATCATGGCGTAGTTACCGACGGCCGGCTGGCCAGCCTGGGAGGATATCAGGCTGTCAGGTTAGAGCCAGGATCACACCACCTTGGTGGCCGCCCCCGGGGCCTCTCGGGTGCACCTCTCCCCCCACCCCCACGCGCACGCCATGCATGCATGCATGCATACATGCCCGGACCGCCGTGCCTCTCTCCCCGTCCTCCCCCGCGTCGCCCCAACCCCGCACTCACTCGGCCGAGCTGGTCCCGTTAATCGTGGAGCCATCCGGGGTCGGGTTCAGCTGAATGGGCCCTGGCTTCTTCTTAGGCATTTTGGCCCCGAGGAAAGCCCCTTCCTAACCCGCAGGCTCCTAACCAGCAGTGGCCGCAGCTCCGCCTCAGCCTTGCGTCCTTCCAAATTCAAGGCCGAGACTCGGGGGGTGGAATGGGGCAGCGGCTTACGGCTCTCAGCAGGGACTCCCGGGTCGGGGCAGCTCCCCCAGCCCCGCGGCTCCCCGGACGGACGCCAACGAGTTGGGCGGAGGAGCGGTGATGGGGAGTTCCCTGGGGAGGCGTTCGGCGAGCCGGTGGCGGGGATTCCCTCACCCCACCCCCTCACACCCGGCCGGATTCGGTTCCGTCCGGCTCCGCAGTCGGAAGGGCTTCCCCGGCGCGGGATCCCCGGCGCTAGGGGCTGGCTCGAGGGCAGTTAAGCTCCTCGGCACGGGAAGCCCAGGTCTGGAGAGGATGCCTGTCCCCCGGCTCTGGCGAAAGTGCGGTTTCTCGCGCGGTCCTCAGACCCACACATCCGTCCGCGGGAGGGAGGGACGGACGAGGGTGGGGGGCGGGGTGGGAGGGAACCCTTCGGGGGCTGTTGTTTTGCCCCCTTCTTCTGGAGCTGCTTTTTTTTTTTCTTCTCCACTCCCTACCTCCCAGCACCGCCGCCTCTTCCCCCTCCCATCCTGAGTTTGCTGACAGCCAATAAGAAGAAGCCATCCCAGGCAGATGACGCGGAAACGCATCACGGAGGCGGTGCACGTGGGGCCGCCGTGAAATGGACCAGGAGCTGGAAACAGCGCCCTCTGCAGCTGGCGGTGCTTTCCATGGAGCTGCGAGGAGGCTGCTTTTCCTTTTTTGCTCTGAAAATCATTCACGTTGTAAACGGTAATGCATTTCTTGCAGTGTGAGGCCTCAAGTTCCTGAACCGGGCTTGAGGTACCTCATACTGCTGCGGTGACAAAGCTGGGTCTTCGCTTTGTCCTTCTCTGGGACTATGGCATTGAGTCATGTTACTCTTACTACTAAAAGAATTAAAAAAGGCTCCCGAGGAGAGGGAGCTCTAGCCTGTGAGCCAGGAGACCTGACTTCCAATTCTGACCTTGCTACTAACTTTGTTACTTCGGGAATATCAGTTATGGCCCTCAGTTTCTCCAAAACGAAGGTGTTGGAGAAACCAGCCTGCCAGGTCCTAAATTTTATAGTTGATTAAATCCTAACAATCCCCTTGGACTGAGGGACCTTGAAAAGATCTTGTGGTCTTAAACCACCCCTAATTTAGCTGCTTAATGCCTAAGACTAAGGTCTAGTTGCCCTGTGCCCAAATAATACTAGCTCACATTTTATAACCGTTTTAGGATTTGCAAAATTACCATCCTCACAACAATGTAAGAGCAACAGTGCAATGATTATCTCCATTTTGCAGATCACAGGATTATAGATTTAAAAGTAGAAAGCACCTTAGAGGACATCTATTCCAAATTCCTCATTTTACATAACCAGGAAATAGGGCCTAGAGAAATGAATTAATATGCAAAGGTCACCTCAGATCTAGAATCTGAACCCAGGTCCTCTTTTGATATCAAATCCACCATTCTTCCACTGCATCATGCCAGTGTGGGAACTGAGAGTCAAAAACTTGATTAGGAGGACACAGTGTCCATCCAGTTTCAAATCCAGGTTTCCTGACTCCCAAGTCCAGCACATTGCTTCTCAACTCTTATCTCTATCTTGAATTGACTGGGCCTCTAATTTTTCTCTTTTACATTTTAGACTTGATGAAGTGCTGTGGGGTTGCCAACAAATTCAAGAGCTGGTAGTTTTAAATCATTGAGGAAGACTGGCATAAGCAGATTCCCTCAAATGAATCAAGGAATTATAGATTTTTAAAGTGGGAAAGAACAAAGAGATCATTTAGTCCAACTCTTTAATTTTACAGATGAGGAAACTGAAGTTTATTTATTGGTGTAATACAAAACAATAAAGGAGGTTCTCCTGAGCTGAAGATGAGCTTGTTTTGCACTTGTAAACTATGACAGAGCTCTTTTTGAAATTTAAAAACATGTTGCTGAGCATTTTAACTGGAAAAAAAAACCCTACATTTGTTATTGTCCATAATTTAGTAGAGAATTTTAGAACCAAGAAGTGTGGCTACTGAAAATGCCACTTTTGCCAGATAGAGGATTAATATATTAAATCATTTTCACATTTTGAATTCCATATTTCTTTCCATTAACAAAGAGAGCACTCCAAATATTTTACAATTACTTCCCCCATTACTCAATGTCCTCTCCATGGAGCTAATTTCTTCAAATCAAAATAAGTTTAATCTAAAGGAAACACTATGTAAATATCAATAAATATTATCCATCTTCTAGATTTGATTATGACATAACAGCAGATTTTTCAGTAATGTGTAAAATGTTAGCATGCCAAATAGATACATTTAAAGAGTTACACTACCCACAAAGGAGAGACATCTATTTCTTAAATTCTCAATTCTTGACATTCCCATAGCAATGAAACCACTAAGTTATTTTGGGAGTCACTTTAATTACCAGTTATACTTCATTTAAGGGAAGAGTTGCCTCAATTTAGTGATGATGATGGGATTTCAATGGGTCTCTGCAAACTTAGTCTCAAGTTAGACAGGATATCAGATCTGGTGTCTATTTTTGGAAAGGGTGGAGGCAGAGGTAAGGAATTTTTCCTGAGAGGGTCTGGCAATAAAAAGGTAAAAACATTCACTTTTTGCCCTTGTGTAGACACAGGCTCCAAAAAAGGCAAGATGTTTTCAGGACAGATCAGCTTCTCAAAGGCAGTTATGGAAAAGGATGTAAGAATGTCAACTTCTTTCAGAAACTCAGCATAGAATGCCATTCATCCTCAATACTGAACAAAGGTGAAGCAGGTTTCCTTTTGCTTAAGGAATTATAACCAATTCCTTCGTTGCTATTTTCAGACTTTCTCTAACTCGGAGTGTAAAACTGGTCTATAATATTTTTCCTGTGAAGTACATTGAAAACTATTACAAACAGGAAATAGGAATGATTTAACTTTAAAACTAGAGTGGCACAGTGATCTGTTGCCTATGATAAGCAGCTTGTGGAATTGAACAGACCTGTCTTGCAGCCTGTGCTTCATTCTTTTGAGCTTTCACTCTCTGCCTCAGTGCCTATAAGCTGCCCCAAGAGAAGAATGTTGCCTCCACATGCCTACTATGCACAAGGCTTCTACTGTTGCTTTTAAACTTCAGTGGACCGAAATTTAACCCTCCTCCTATGGGTGTTTTGGATGGAAGGACAGGTGTCCCTTCAACTGACTTACAAAGCTTACATTTGTGTTTTAGCATTTTGCATTTATGTACAACTGCCAGATGACTTTATCCTTGAATTAGACATCTGACAGACACCTTAGATATCTTTTAGTCCGATTCCCTCAGGTTATAGATGAAGGAACGGAGGCCCGCAAAGTGAAGTGACTTGCTCAAGATTACACCAGTAGTTAGTAATAAGAGCTGGAACTAGAACATAGATAGGTCTTTAGTCTCATCATCCAGGACTCCTCCCATCCTACCCAGGCTTCCAGTAGGCTAACTTAATTGATAGGTATATTTGGTTTAGTCAACTGGAAGGTAACTTTATCTGTGAATTTTTCAACTATAACTTTTATTTTTTTCACTAACATTTGAATAGAACCTTAGAGTTTTGCATAAGTTATATGTGTTATATAATATAGCGCATGTTGTAGTACATAAATATATAAAATATACTATGTAATAATAAAATTTATGTTTATATAACTTTTAAAGCTTCCCAAAGTACTTCATAAACAATATTTCATTTAACCCTTACAACACTCTGTTGTGAAGAACAGGTAGATATGAACAGAGGTAGGTACTGTTATGCCTATTTTTCAGATTAGGAAACTGAAGCAAAAAAGGTAAGTGGCTTGTCTTCCATCACACAGCTGGTAAAGATCAGGGGATAGATTAAAAATATATAGAGATAGAGATAGAGATATTGTTCTAGGTGTTAGGATTAAAACACAAAAACAAAACAAAAACAGAATCAGCCCCTGACTTCAAGGAGCTTGAATTATAATGGGGAGATAAAATATGTGCACAATAAAAACATATAAACTAATTTGAGGAGAGAAAGAGTCCTAACAACTGATGGAATCAGGAAAGGTTTTACATAGGAAATGAGACCAAAGTTTGGCTTTATGGGAGATGCTAATTTTTTGGAGCAATAGGCCACTTTTACTGGAACTCAAGTGTATAAAGGCTGTACTTTATCTCATTTGGTTTTTCAAACAAATTTGTGAATTAGGAGGTACAAGTACTATCATTATCCCCATTTGACAGACTAGAAAATTAAGGCTCATAGGGGTTAAATGTGCTGCTGAAGGTCAAAAGGTTAGTTTAATGGAAAATAGAAAAGCCAAGATCTGTTGATTCTGAATCTACACAAAGTTGGTCTCCCTGCTTCAGGTCTTTCCCCACTACATTTCATCCAAAATGATTTTGCTTAAGCACAGATCTGACCATATCACTCCCCTCCTCTCTCTTTTCCAGTTGCTCCCAATTACCTGAGGATAAAAAAAAATTCCTCTGTTTAACTTAAACCTTTTCACAATCTGGCCCCAAATTTATCTTTCATGCCTCACTGTACATAATCCCCCCTTCCATACAGCCAAACTAACTTTTTCTCTGTTGCTCACACATAAGATTCCATCTGCTTTTTTTTCACCTCTGTGTGAACTTTCTCCTGTGCCAGGACCCCATTCTCTCTTCCCTTTTGCCTCATAGAATTCCTCCCTTCCTTTGAAACTTAGCTCAAGCACTACCTTTTACATTCAGGCATTTTTTTAACCTGGAGTCCTTAGACTTTAAAAAAAAATTAATAAGCATATCAGCATAATTGGTTTCCTTTGTAACTCTATGTATCATATTTTATGCTTTTAAAAATATTATACTAGCCTATATCAGATTACTCGATGTCTTGGAGAAGGAGGTGGGGAGGGAGGGGGAGAAAAATTTAAAACTCAAAAGCTTACGGAAGTGATAGTTGATAATTCAAAATAAATAAATTTATAATAAAAAATAAAATTAAAATTTTTTAAATTAAAATATTATATTGAAACAACCATGTTGTGCGATGACTAACTTTGATAGACTTACTCTTCTCAGCAATGCAAGGATCTAAGAAATCTTCAAAAGTTTCATGATGGAACATACTATCCACATCCTGAGAAAAAACTATGGAGTTTGAATGCAGATTGAAGCATACTATTTGCTCTTTTTTTCCCTTCTATTTTGTTTTGTTTCTTCTTTCTTGTGGTTCCTCCTATTGATTCTAATTCTTCTTCACAACATGACTAATGTGAAAATATGCTTAATAGGAATGTATATGTAGAACCTATATCAGATTGCATGCCATCTTGGGGAGGTAGGAGGAGAAAATTTAAAACTCAAAAGCTTATGGAAGTGAATGTTGAAAACTAAAAATAAATAAATAAATTTTTAAAAATATTATACGGAGAAGGGGTCTATGGACTTCAGACTGGTAAAGGAATCCATG